ACTACCTAACTGAAGCTGGGTTTGCATAATTCCCTAGACTAGATTAAACCAATTGGCTCAGGGTATGGGGATCCAGCAAATGTTTTAGCATGCTGTGTGAACCAAGCCATCACATTAAGCCATAATGTAGTATGTATGTTTGGGCAAAGCATGTAATCTTAACATGGCAACACTGTTAATCCAGGTAGAATTCAACAGTTGGGTAGGAACTCAGGGACTTAGAGTCTCAACATATCTGAACAGCACCAAATTGGAAAAAATAAGCGTACCCACACAGTTCACTTTACACTAAGAATTTAAGATATTTTATTTTCACATCATTTATCTTTCTTTTTAAACTGTACAAACCTCCCCAATCTAGTTGGCAGCTGGATGGCCTACAGTTGCAAAACATCTTCACTGTCTCCCCGCCCGGTAGATATAATCAACCTCCAAGGAAAAACTCCAACTTCTGTCTTCTCTGGTTTCCTGGGATTTTAAAACTAGAGTTCAGGCTTTGAAGGGCAGGAAAATGACCCGCCCACAAACTCCCTGTGGGGAAACACAGGCCTCCACGCAGCTCTCTCAGCCTACTGACATTTGACGAAATGCTTCAGATCTTCAAGGAACCGAATGTACTCTCTGTGCTCCAGAGCTGTGCTGAGGCTCACAAGCTCATCCCCAAATGTATTGTCCACCCCTCGGTCAGCCAAGAAATCCATCAGGTGGTCATACAGGGCCTGCGAACATTATGGGATATGTAAGAAGACACAAGAAATGCAGACATTGTAGGAGGACAGCCATGTCAATCTATGGTGGGAAAAAATAGGGTGTCGGGTAGCACTTTTTCCAATGAACACATTTTATGAAAAGGCATAAGCTTTTGGGAGGTGCAACTCACTTCCTCAGATGCTTAAGAAAGCCTTTTCGTAAAATATGTTCATTGGAAAAAGTGCTACCAGACTCCTTAAGAAATGCAGACGTAGCTTCTTCTAATACGTAAGGTGAATAAAGGTTTACAGTCAACTGGAAGACTGTCAGAGTCAGTTCAGTGTAGCTCCCTATTGCCAGTCTTACCTTGGACAAAGGAGTGGATTAGTACTGCTCAAGGATCCTTCCAACTCTAGCTGTATTCACATAACCAAGCCTTTAATCATACAGTAAAAATGTTGGTTTTTTCCAAGTTTGTAAAACACCCCATGGGAAGAGGAATCCCTATTTTCTCAATCTGTCCTAAAATGCGGCATCCAGGAACAGAGGGCCATTTGTCTCATATGGGAATGTTCAATGGCTGGATTCACACAACACACTAAACTCTAAACCTGGGTCAAAAAAAATAATCTCTCCTTTGAGTTGAGCTTAACTCCTGATGACATCCTGGACCGGTCCGTGCAGTTTTCTTAGCAGCAGCACAGAAAGGTAAACCCAATTGCAGTGTTAAACCCAGATGTTATACCCAAACCATACTTTGGCTTAAGACAACAACCTGGTTAACACAACATGCTACCGCACTGGCTGGGTTCTCATAAGAAATAGACCCATAAACCACCCAACCTGCTTTAGTCTAGTCCCTTGTGTTATGTGATTCCAGCACCTCCTTCACTCACAATACCTGCAGTACACACTCTTCCACTTTTGCCAACCTGGCACCCTCCAGACTTGTCGGAACTGCAACTTCCAGAAATCTCGGACAGCCCCGTCATGCTGGGTGGGAATTCTGGAACTGCAATCCCAACCTGTCTGGTTCAGCTATTAAGCTGAAGAAAGTTATCTCCTATAGACAAACATTCCTATAAAACACACACAATTAAGTTACAAACTCTCTTACCCAGTCTAGAGAGTCGGTGTTGAGAGTATAGTTGTTGTCCTGCCATTCTGAATCTCCAGTAGGCTGGAAGCTGACCTCCCGGATGGAAAAAATATCACTTTCCCCTTCTTCACTGTGGCTCACCTGCTTGGCGTGGGTGAAAAATCAAGACACTGCTAAGCAGCCCAGGATTAAGCTAGGAAGGGTCTAATTTACTCCCTAGAAATTTACTTAGAACCCTTATAGCCCACCCAGTATCAAGACCTTGGTGCGTGCTAGAATCTGTAACTGCAGCAGAGAGCATCTGCAAGGATTTGCACAAGTCAAACTACATGCTCCATTAGAAGCGTGTAACTTGACGTTACATGATCAGTAAGGGCTGAGCTATCAGTAAAGGTTGATGTAACCGGGCTATTTGAGGGACTGCCTCTCTCTAGTTACATCAGCCTGTCCCATCAGATTTTCCACACAAGGCACGCTGTGGGTACCATTGGCTAGGGACCTGCATTTGGTGGGTCCCAGGAGACGTGCCTATTTTGCTATGGCACCCATCTTATGGAATATCCTTCCTTAGCTTAGTGCCACCCCTTCTGCTCTTCCGAAAGGCCCTCAAGACCTGGTTATGTGATCAGACCTGGGAGCTCCCAGGGAACCAGAGTCCTGCTTAGAAGGCTCCATTGCTGAGGGGGCCATTTTTATTCTCCCCTCCCCTGTGGTTTGTATTTTTGGTTTTTTATGATATTTATTAATGGGTTTTTTAATATTTGTTCTGTTGTTTTTATATTTGTCTTTTTATCTGATTGTTGTGCCCTGCCCAGAGTCGCTTCGGAGAGATGGGTGGCTATATAAATTTGCTTAATAAATAAACAAACAAACAAACAAGCAAAGTGTTCCATTAGAAGCATGTCATCTGACATTATATGATCAGAACACCTGCCCGCATGGCGGCAGTAAGGGATTTGTATCACACAAATCGTGATTCTAGTGAATTCCCTTCCATCCCGTGATGGATCTCTCTGGCAGAGTCAAAAGAAGCTGCTGATTGCATCAGTGCTGGCTTCCTTCCCTACAAAGTAGCATGCCCAGAAATGAGATGGGGGGCGGTCACTGGGAACACGAAAAGAAGGGGTGAGAGTGTTCCTGTCCTGCTTGTGGGTTTTTCTCAAGCCATAACTGGTTGGATGCTGTTGGAACAAAATCCTGGATTAGATGGGTTTTTAGCCTGATCCAGCATGCTCTCTTCAGGTTTTTAAAACCGAGGAATTGGATTAATATAAATTATAACGCAGGAGAAAAAAAATCCTTTTCCAACAGGCTGAATCTAGGCTGCCCATTAAATAACACACCATATTATATGATGCAAAGTTTATTGGTGCACAAGTGTTGCAGATTATAGCTTTCTCAATCCAGGTTTACTGGCCATGCTTGCTGGAGCTGATGGGAGTTTTAAAAAAAATCTGAAGGGGCACTGAGCTCTCAGACACCCTGTTTAGGTAAGTCCTCCCCAGCAACCTCAGGAGAAAGCTAAACACACATCTGCAGTGCACCATTTCTGCCCTTGAAAAACCTAATGATACTGTATCCCCCAAATCCTTCCTCTGCTGGAATTCCAGCTTTAATGGGGAAAGCGTAGCTAAAGCAACTTCTTCATCACAGCCTACTGTTTCCATGAGCAAGAAAACCTAATCTATTTCTCTTGGGTGTGTACATTCCACTTTCTTTCCACTGAATTCTAGATGATGAATTCAAGGTTGTTATCAGGTTGGGGCAGCGATCAAGACCAACCCTGCTTAGCTTCAGTGAGCCTCATCTGCCCAGTCTTTGAGCACCTGATGCTCTCCAGAAATGTTGACTTCCAACCCTGTAATAGAGGACTTTATGGAGAGAAGGCAGAGAGATAAAATGACCAAACTCACCTCATCCTCAGGGTAATGGCAATCCAGCACAAGGGTTTGTTTGGTATCATCTTTGGTTACTTCTACAACAAAGTTTGGGGTGGATGTCAGCTCAGGCTGTAGAAGGGAGACGATACATAAACTTCAGAACCAACACCAACCAAATCATATTTTGGTTGCAGCAATTAGAACAGTGATTCTCAACCTTTTTGAAGCTGCCGCCCCCCT